TCATTCACTCACTCACTCTCTCTCTCACTCACTCACTCTCATTTACTCACTCACTCACTCTCTCACTCTCTCACTCACTCACTCACTCACATTTACTGACTCACTCACTAACTCTCTCACTCACTCACTCAAAAAAAAAAAGAAATTAAAAAAATTTTTTGCTACATAGTAAAATGTACACACTATATCACATTATATTGATGTGTGTGGAGACACCTGCCAGGTACCCACAGGTGTCTCGGATGGGACCTCATACTGCTGGCATCTGAACGGCCAGCTCCTCCAGGAGGTTACCTTGGCCACACTCTACTTTGTAGCTGCTGCTTCAAGCCAAACTAGAGCGTACCACTGCCAAGTTCAAGCCCCAGGCTCAACCACCACAAAACGCGTGTGTGTATATATATATCTTCTTTAGAACATATTCCCTAAGCAAATCAGCTGAAGGAACCCTGGTGACATAGTGGGCCATGCTGCACATTGGCCTGCTGACTGCAAGAGCACCAGTTTGAAACCACCAGTGTCTCCATGGGAGTAAGAGGAGGGTTTTTACTCCTGTAAAGATGTACAGTCTTGGAAACCCATGGGCATTCTGGCTCTGTCCTGCAGGGTCACTATGAGTCGGAATCAACTTTATGGCTATGAGTTTGGTTTGGGTTAGGAGCACGTCAGTCAGGAACAATGGAAGAGAGCACTTCAAACGTAGAGGCCAAACCGAAGATGCACTTCCTCTCCCCCAGTGACAGGCAGCATCACATTTGGACATTTACTTTGGGCTTTGCTGTGTGCTTTTTCCTATTTATCACGCCCATTCCATAGGCAGAGAAGATGGGGGTCAGGGAGCTTCAGGAACAGCCAGCCTGGTCCCAGGCATCTCGTCTCCCACCCACCCCATCCACCCTGCTGCAGAAGCTCCTTGGAGCTGTCCTTTGCCTGGTCTCCAGTTCCCGGCCTCTCACAGCCTGGAGCCTATAGAGAGAGCTGATAGAAAGGGTCTGGTGTGGGCCTTCGATCCCACAAAGGCTCACTTGCTCTCCTAAGTGCTCACCCACCCATGCTGAGTCCCTGTGATGATTCGGACATGCCTGGCTAACTGTGGCCTTTGGCGTGGCCTGAATCCCCCCTGGTTCAGTGCTCTGTGGGCTGAACACCATTGACAGGGGCTGTACCTGGCACTGGGTCACAGGGTCCATGAGCCTGGCCCTTGAGGGATGGAGCTGGGTGGGGCCCTCGGCGTCCGTAGGGAGGTCAGCTCTGGCTCTGGGCCCCATCTCCTGCCAGGGTTGGAGTCATGCAGCCCTCCTGTGGTCAAATACCCAGGCACCATCTGGGACAGTCGGGCCGAAGCCCTCACCCGCTCTTGGTTTCTCCCCGCAGGAGCCTGGGTCCAGGTGTCACCATCACCCGAGCTCCATGAGGGCCAGGAGGTGGTTCTGACCTGCCAGGTGCCCACGGGCGTCCCGGACGGGACCTCCTACGGCTGGTATCGGAACAGCCAGCTCCTCCAGGAGGCGACCTCGGCCACACTCCGCTTCGCAGCCATCACTTCGAGCCAAGCTGGAGCGTACCACTGCCAAGCTCGGGCCCCAGGCTCGACCACCACGAGCCTGGCCGCCCCGGTCAGCCTCCACGTATCCTGTAAGAACTTTCATCCTGTCCACATGAGGATGGGGATGGCCTGGTCTGGGGCGCTGCCTCAGACATGAGGAACCACCTGGCTGAACCCTGACCATTCCCCACCCCATGTAGATGCCCCGCGTCAGGCTGTGCTCACTACCCTGATGGACACAGGCCCCGGGCGACTGGGCCTCCTCCTGTGCCGTGTGGACAGTGACCCGACAGCCCAGCTGCGGCTGCTCCATGGGGACCGCCTCGTGGCCTCCACCCTTCAGGGTCTGAAGGAACCTGCAGGCAGCCCTCCCTTGCTGCAGGTGGCTGTGGCCCCAAACACCTTGCGTCTGGAGATCCACGGTACCGTGCTGGAGGATGAAGGCGTCTACACCTGCGAGGCCACCAATGTCCTGGGCCGGACTTCCACCTCGACCACCTTTGATACCCAGGGTCAGTGTGCAGATGGGAGCGTGTGGATGTGTGGTTTTAAGAGAGGAGAGGCGTTGAGAGAGAAGGTGCCCGAAGACGGGCACAGGCAAAACCTCAAGACTGCTCCAGGAGACATAGGTCTGCAAACGGCGGCCTTGAAGCATGTAAAGAATGGAACTGCCTGTTCGGGGTGTGTGTGAAAACTTTTTGTTGATTGTTTTCTAAAGCGGTCTCATACGTCTGTTGTCCATTGGATTGACCAGTCGCACTCTGCATGAGGTCCCTCAGCTTCCCTCCGACTCGCTCTTTTGCAGCCCTGATGGTTATACTTTAAGGCTGCGTAGTATTCTGTTGTGTGTAGGGACCGTGGTGTGCTTATTCATTCTTCCTTCAGGTTGTTTCCATGTCTGCTATTGTGAATCGTGCTCTGATTAATACGGATGCGTATATAGATCTAGTATCTACTTGTCTGGCAGCTTTTATTTCTCTAGCACATACACCCAATAATAGGATCATGTAGTATTTCGATTTCTGACTTCTTAAGGAAGTGCCGTGCCATTTTCCCCAGTGGTTGGACCATTTTACAGACCCCTTTGGGGAGGATCGATATTTTCACAACGTTGATTTCTTCTCCATAATCATGGTATCTTCCACCGTTTCTGTAGGTCTCTCTCTCGCTAGTCATGTTTTGGAATTTTCTTTCTGTAGGTATTTCTATGTTGTCATTGAAATCCGGAGTGGGTGCTGGGTTTTATCAAATGCCTTTCCTGTGTTCACTGAGATGCTCGTGCAGTTTTTCCCCTTTGCTTTTATCTGTGGTGGTTACTGGGCTTTATCTCTAACGTTGACTGCCTCGCATGGTTCCCGCTTAGTCACGATGCATTATTCTTTATATGTTGTTGGAGTCGGTTGGCTAGGGTTTTGTTGAGAATTTTTGTGTCTGTAGTCATGAGAGGTAAAGTCTCTAACTTCCAGTTTGGTGATGTCTTTGCCAGACTTGGGCCTTAGGGTTATGTTTGCTTCATGAAAGTGAATTCAGATGTATGCCTCTGGAATAGTGTGAGTGGAATTGGTATCAGCTCTTTGGAAGAGCCTTGGTTAAAAACAGATTTCTATAAGGTTGCCCAGTGGATGGACTGCTTAGAGAGTGGATTCCCAGGGGAAACAAGGCCGAGGAGGCCTGTCCCCTTCCCATGTACCGTCCACCAGGGCCAGGACTGGGGGCACGGCACTCTAGGACACTCAGAATTGCACTAGGGACCTCCAGAGAGATGACCAGTTAACTCCTGAACCTGACCTGTGAGCCCCAGTTGCAGGTGAGCCCCTGACAGTCACAGAGTTCAGGAAGAAGTTCACCCTGCTCTTCCCTCAAGTGGGCAAATGGCTACTCTATACAGCCCAAGGCCCTGATCAGTGTCCCGTGCTCCTCTCTCTCCAGCTGTGCGTGTACAGGTGTGGCCTGGGGCCACGGTCCATGAGGGACAGCTGGTGAACCTGACCTGCCTGGTATGGACCCACCTGGCCCAGCTCACCTACACCTGGTACCAGGATGGACAACAGCGTCCGGGGGCCCGCTCCATCCTCTTACCCAACGTCACAGTCATGGATGCTGCCTCCTATCGCTGTGGAGTGGGGACCCCTGGCCAGGCACCCCGCCTCTCCAGACCGGTCCCCCTGGACGTCCTCTGTGAGTCTTTTGGACTAGGGTGGAGTGGGGAGCTGCCCTTAGGAATCAGCTACGGCCAGAGCCTCACAGGTGCCCAGCCTGGGACCTCAGTTACCTGGCCTATAGACAGGAAGCATGAGAGGAAACTGACAATGAAGACACTCCTTTCAGCTACGGAGCACTTGATCAGGGCAGAGGATCAGTACCCCTGATGAGACAACCCCGGGGCCAGGGGGTGGGCAGCCAGGTCGCTCCTGGACTCGAATGCCTCCTATAAACTGGCCTCCTCACAACTCCTCCTGCGTCCGTCTTGCTCCTGCAGATGCGCCCCGCAGCTTGCGCCTAACCTACCTCCTGGAGAGCCACGGCGGGCAATTGGCTCTGCTTCTGTGCACAGTGGACAGTCAGCCACCTGCCCAGCTGAGCCTCAGCCACGCTGGCCGCCTCCTGGTCTCCTCAGCCACAGACTCCACTCCCAACACCCTTCGCCTGGAGCTGCGAGAGCCCCGGCCCAGTGACGAGGGTCTCTACAGCTGCTCTGCCCACAGCCCTCTAGGCCAGGCCAACACATCCTTGGAGCTGCGGTTGGAAGGTAAGGCTGGGCCCAGGGCAACTTGCTGGGTGGGGACCAGCTGTCTGGTGGGGCCTGACTGACCCTCATCTGGTTGACAACAGGCGTGCGGGTGACCCTGGCTCCATCGGCCACCGTGCCTGAGGGGACCCCTGTGACCGTGACCTGTGAGGACCCTGTTGCCCGCCCACCCACCCTCTATGCTTGGTACCACAATGGCCGATGGCTGCAGGAGGGCCCAGCTGCCTCCCTCTCATTCACGGTAGCTGCTCGGCTTCACACGGGCGCCTACTCCTGCCAGGCCCAAGATTCCCAGGGCACACGCAGCTCGCGGCCCACTGCCCTGCGCATCCTCTGTGAGCAGGAACTCCCGGAATGGGGTGGGGGAGGGGATTCCCAGGTTCTGGTGGGGAGCACAGGACCACAGTGACAGTTGGGGGGAGAAGGACAGAGGTGATGAGCAGAGACCTGGGGCCACTGGTTGGGTGGGGAACGTGGCCCCTGTTTGGGTGTACCTGCCCACCGCACTCCTGAGAAAGCACCGCTTGTAGCAGGTGACTCAGAGGCCTTGGGCCTGTGAGCAGGGTTCAGGTACACCGTCCAAGGGTGCCCAGGGAGGCCCTCAATGGTGCCCACCCTCTCCCAGATGCCCCCCGAGATGCTGCCCTCTCCTTCTTCCGGGACTCGAGGACCAGCCCAGGCACTGTGGTGCAGTGCACTGTGGATAGCGAGCCCCCCGCTAAGCTGACCCTGTCCCGAGAAGGCCAGGTGCTGGCCACCACCCAGGGGGCTTCTGGCTTGGCATCGGGGACAGGCTCCATCCAGGTGGCCCGCAATGCCCTGAGGCTGCAGGTGCAAGAGGTGTCAGCCGGCGACGAGGACACCTACCTCTGTTCAGCTCGAAACTCGCTGGGCTCGGTCAGCACTACTGGGCAGCTGCGGGTCGAAGGTGAGCAGGAGGGGGGAAACTCAGCACATGGCCCCTCATGGGCTCAGACGCTGTGGGGTTAGAGTCCACAGGAGGGCTGGGGCTCCCACCCCAGAGATATGATAGAGCCCTGGCTCAAGCTGTATAATCTGGCGAAGGAGGCCCAGCTCCCACCGACAGGGCCTCGCCAGCCTGAGAGGGAAGACAGAACCTGTCCCCAACCCGGCAGGGATGGAGGGGTAGCGATGACCAAGGGGAATTTGGGTTGGCTGCGGGCCTAACTCCGGCCTCACAAAGCCCTGCTTGGGGATGGGGGTTAGGGGGTGGAGGCCCACACCACTCTGGGGCAGCCTGGAGTGGGGAGAGACACAGTGCACCTTAGGGAGCCCATTCTGAGAAGCAGTTGCCCCACCCCACCCTTGGTGAGGCAAGATGCAGCCCATCACCCGGGAAGCCATGTGTAATGAAGTAGGCACAGCCCTGCTCTCGGGGAGTGACAGTCTCACCTGTAGCAGCCGGAGTCCAGTCAGAGTCGGACTTCCCACCAGGAATGGAGGCCTTGGGAGAGTCCAGGCTGACCCGGCCACCGATGTCCCCCCTGCAGGTGTGCATGTGGTGGCGCAGCCGGGCCTGGACCTGTCTGAAGGCACAGCACTGAATCTGAGCTGCCACCTTCCTGAGGGCCCCGGGTCCCCGGCTAATACCACCTTTGCTTGGTTCTGGAATGGCCGGCACCTACCCGCAGAGCCTGTGCCCATGCTCACCTTCACCTCCGTGGCTCGTGCCCAGGCCGGGGTGTACCACTGTCGGGTCGGACTCCCCTCAGGGGCTGCCACCTCCGCTCCAGTCCTGCTCCGGGTCCTCTGTGAGTATGAGCCCCTAGCTCAGTCTATCCCCCCCACCCCGCCCTCCCCTCCATGCCCACCTCGGACCCTCCTCCCCTTCCATCTGCAAAGAGAAGGACTTCACACCCAGCAGGCACCTGGGTCCGAATCCTGACTGCCATTGGCTGGTGTGGGATCTTGTGCATCTGTACCTCAGTTTCCTCATCTGTAAATTGGGGCCTACATCCTTCATTTGTGAGGAATACAGAAGAGATCGCATACAGGGGTGCCCGGCACACCATCAACTCTCATCAGCCTTAGTGACCCCCCACCCCCCCGCTCTATTCTTCACCAGGGCTATAGCCCACCCCAAGACCCAGGGCAGAAAACCACAGCCCCTTTATTCACGCACAGGTCTGTGGGTAAGAAAGAAATTGGGCCGGGCTCCCCTGGCAGTTCTGCTGGGCTCTCCTCATGTGGCCACCGCGGTACATTAGCTTACCCTACACTAGACGGTGAAGGGTGGCCTCATCCAAGTGGCTGGTGGTTGGGCTTGGGTTACGTGTCTCCAGCAGGCCAGCCTGGGCTTCCCACAAGAGTGTGTTCCAAATGAGCGAGCAGAAACTGCCAGTTCTCTGGAGGTCTAGTGCCGAAGTCACACATCCCTTCTTCTGACTGGACCGAGCCATCGATCCCAGGCAGGGCTAGGGAAGTAGATGCCCCTCTTGGTGAGAGGTGCAGTAAGGTCACTTTGCTGGAAGAGGAATCGGTGGTCGCTTATGGCAATCGCTACTCTTCCTTCCCTCTCACAGATCCTCCAGAGCCACCCACCCTGACGGTCTTCGTAGAGCCAGAAAGTGGCCTCCAGGGCATCCTGGACTGCCAAGTGGACAGCGAGCCGCAGGCCAGCCTGAGCCTCCATCTTGGCGACCGATTGGTGGCATCCAGCCAGACCCGGGGGGCTCCTGCTGACCCACATGTCCATGTCTCCGCATCCCCCAATGCTCTACGGGTGAACATGAAGGAGCTGAAGCCCAGCAACCAGGGGGACTATGTGTGCTCTGCCTCCAATGTCCTGGGCTCCTCCTCAGCCTCTACCTACTTCGGGGCTAGAGGTGAGGTCGGGGCCCCTCTGTACAAAGGCCTAGCTGGTCAGTCCACAGGGTTTCTTCTGAGGGCTGCCCTAAACCCCTTCAGCTGGTCTGTCTAGACCATACTGCTTACTTGGGGCGCCCTTGTGTGGGGATGGGGGACTTATTTGATGACATGAGGAATAGGGGGTAGGCACTGGAGGCTGGGTTCCATGACTGTCCCCCAACTTCAATCTGTGTTCCAGTCCTGCACCGCCTCCATGTGTTCCAGCAGCTGCTCTGGGTCCTCGGGGTGCTGGCAGGTACCCTGTTCCTGCTGCTGGGCCTGGGAGCCTACTGTGCCTGGAGGTGGGTCTCTGGGAGCCTACTGTGCCTGGAGGTGGGTCTGGGTCTGGGGAGGTGGCTGCCCCTCCTTCTCGCTTAGGTCCTTTAGAACAGTGGTTCTCAACCTGTGGGTCGTGACCCTTTTGGGGGTCAAAGGACCCTTTCACAGGGGTCCCCTGATTCATAACAGTAGCACAACTACAGTTATGAAGTAGCAACAAAAATAAATTTTTTGGTTGGGGGGGGGCGCCTCTCCATCACATGAGGAACTGTATGAAAGGGTCGCGCGGCATGAGGAAGGTTGAGAACCACTGCTTTAGAAGATTGTACCTCTTTCCAAATCCATGGGTTTCATAATTTCCTAGCCTGCTTCCCATCCAAGATTTGGGAATCCCAGCTAGAATTGCCCGGAACTTCACCTGGCTGTAGTTTTCTTCTTCTCTTGATCCAGTTTGTACTGAAGAAAGGGCTGGGGAAGAAGAAAGATAAGACGACACCCCCCTCCATCAGCTCCCCACTGCGGGGAAAGCAGGAGCACGTGGGGAGCAGCTCTCTGAGTTTATTCTTGTCATCCACAGAAAGGGGTTCTTTCATAAGCGGCACTTGGGGAAGAATTCAGTGGAGATGGTTTTTCCAAAGGAGACCATGCAGGTATCCATTTAACCTATGCCCACCTGTACACACGCAGAGGGGAAGACCTGGCTGCCTCGTGGTGCTGACCTGGCCGCTGTCATGTGTGGGATGGGGCCTGGGGTTGGAGGAGGATGGGGAGAGGGTGTAGGGAGCCAGGTTCTGACTGGGGCCAGAGAACAGTAGAGTGTTGGCCCATTGGGTGCCTGACTGACTGGGGTAGACTTAGTACCAGCCCCTCCACTTTCAACACATATTTTCTAATTTCTCCACCTGTTTGAGGTCTTCTTCCCCCACTTCTGAGCCTGCCGATCACCTGGGCTGGGGTGGCCAGGGCTTCACGCTCCATGCCAGCCATCCCCACACTCACCAACCAACGGGGCCCTAAGGCTTGTGGGACTTGTGGGGGTGGGGCTTGTGCAGAGGGCTCGGGGGTCAGCTGACGGCTTTACCAGGAGCTCTGTGACTGGAGTTTTCTCTCTGGACAGCTCATCGATTCTGACACAGCCACAATTGGGACCTCACACTGTGATCCAGCGCTGAGCTGACTGGCGGGACTGCTTGCCATCCGGGAACTGTGACGACTTGGGGGCCGTGAGCCAGGGCTTGGCCCCACCTCTCTCAGTGAAAACAGCTCAGGGACATCTCTGTGATCTGGCTGCAAGCCCCTCACTCCCAAGAAAATCAGGACGTGAGAGGTGGAGCGAACCCCACTCTATCCAGCAGGGTGCTGTCTGGATAGGAACCTGGGGGCTCTGAATGAATGAACTCACGCATTAATGGTGTTGTCCATTTCTCCTCGATTTTCTCCGAGTTTCCACTCGCCTCTTCATTTATCCTGCAAAGCACCGCCCCTTCACATCTTTCCCCTCAAAGCCCAAGCAGGACCTGGTGGATGGATTAGAGGGGGCGTTGTTATGTCCTCCTAGTCTGGGGGTGTCATGGTGGCTCCAAGTATCAGGTGTCAGGGTCCGTCCACCTTGTTTTCCTCTCCCCCTACCGTGTTGCCTTTGGTGATGGAGGTTAACGGCGGCTCTACCGTGTCCATATCCCCAGCACATTCCCTGCGTGGGCACAGCCCAGCAGTGGTGCTTCATTTCCACTCCATCCTGTGGGCTGCAATTGAGTCAGATGTCCACTCCAACTGCAGAGGAAGGTGGGAAATGCAGTCCAGAGGACATTTGGGAATTCTACTTCCACCGCCACCAACAGGCGACACGTTTCTGTGCCCACCCGCTGCCCATTCAGTCATGAGCTTCCTGGAGGAGGCTCCCACACAAGGAGGCTGTAGAAATGGAGACGGTTTAGGGGCGACACAACTGCTAAATGAAAGGTCAGCGGTTTGAACTCCGCTGCTGCGCCTCAAGAGGAGGCAGTTGCAGTCTGTCTCCGTAGAGATTTGAGACTAGGGACCCAGGGAAACGATTCTACTCTGTCTTACAGGGTCGCCGAGCCGGAAGCCACTTCACAGTGGCGTTGGGAGTTTGGGAGGGAGAGGGCACACCGTGCTCAGGAGACCAGTGTGAATCCCGTGGGTTCCCAGCCCATGGGCCTTGTGCCCAGCCCGGCAGCGCGTGCATGCTGCTATGGTGCCGACCAGCTTTCCGCAGAGCCTCCAGACGAAGACCAGCAGGAAAGGCCCGGCACGTCTGCTTTCAGCATCTGTGTCATCCCATGGTGTGTGGCATCCTGTCCGTTGGGGACCGACTTGTCAGCAACGAACACCTTCACCTCTCAGGGGCTGGGTCCTGCTTTACAGGCTCTTTCGAGGCGGGGGAATGGATGCAGTCCAGGTGCAGGCTTCTCCATGATCAGGAGAACTCTTGGGCTTTTCCTGGGCCAGGGGCTGGCGAAGGGAGTGAGGGTTAGCAGAGAGGAATAAAGTGCCTCTAGGAAATGAGGGACAGAGGGAGCTAGTCTCTGACTGGGTCAGTGGCTGCCTGCCATTGTCTGGGAGTGAGGGTCATGAACTCCTGCTCCAGAACTTGGTTGCGAAGCTCGGAGAGCCGTCGCAAGTTGGTGCAGGAGCCACCAGGCTGGAAAGAAACCAGTAGCTGAGGCTGGGCCCTCTGCTGTTCCAAGCTCCACCCCTTTGCAGGCCTGAAGCCTGGACTCTTCCTGGGGGCCTGCCCAGCAGGTCCTCCAAATACATGCCTGTAGTATGAAGTATGGGGGAGCCAGCCCCCGCCACTACCCAGGGGTTCAGTACGCACAATTGTACGGTTGAGATATATAGAGATATTAAAGTCATCGAGAGCATGAGCGATAGAAGAGATATTACAATAATGCAGTCAGACACATTCCATGGTAGCATTGCTCACCTCAGCCCAGCTTGGTGGTCCACATGGAGAGAGGGGGAAGGGAAGGAGGATGGGAAAGGGAACAAGGGAGAGAGGACTGGAGAGCAGAGGGGGAAGAGAGGCGAGGGAGAGACTGGCCGGAGAGGTCTATTGCTAGCCCAGGCCTACATACCTTTTGGGGGCGTGCAAGCCCAATAATTACAGGTAGAGACATACGTCACAAGAAGGGGTTGCATTATAGGTTACACAGCAATGAGAGGGAGTGGTCTAGGAACATACACGCAATAGGAAGAGGAGGGATTGGGGGTATACATGTGACAAGATGGGTGGATCCTAGATTTAGGATGGCAACTTAACTTTGACCTGTTCTCTGGGTCTCCATAGGAACCATTATCAGTAGGGTGTAAACCCCACCTACAGGAACCAAATAGATGACTGCAGGCCTGTCCATTGTCTTTAACAGCAGCTAGCAGGGGCCCATCCCTGCGGTGGGGTGAGACAGCAATCTGACCTCCCCCCCCACATGCCCACCTCGTGACATGCCTTGAGTGAGCGTCTTTCTTGGGGTTTCTTGAAATCCCAACTTTGGCTCGGGGGCACAGAGGATGGAGACGCTGGTGAGGTGTGTTTTGTGAGGATGACGCAGGACTGGGCAGGGTTCCGTTCTGTGGTACGTAAAGTCACCGAGAGGCAGAACCCACTTGATGGCACCGGCAACGACAGCATACATGACAACGCATGTACGGCCATATCTACATCTACACGTCAGTGGCATTCATTATGTTCACTATGTTCATTATGTTGAGCACCGTCACCGCCATCTACTTCCAATGTCTTGTTTTTTTTAACCTCCAACAGAACCTCAGTGTTCCTTAGGAAATGCCTCTCTTGTCCCCCTGGCTGAAATCAACTTCCAACGGAAGTGTGACGTAATCCCGAGAAGCGTGCTCACCCTAAGCGTGCAGCTCGATGATTTTCCAAGCAGCGAACCCACCAGGTCAGCAGCACCCACATGAAGAAACAGACGGCTTACTCCCAGAGTCCCTGAGGGCTCCCTCGCACACCTTCCCGGCTGTAACCTCCCCAGAGTGACCGTTCACTTGACTTCTAAGAGTGGAGGTTCGATTTGTTGGTTTTTTAATATTATGTGAATCACACAGTCCAGGCAACAACATTGAAAAACCGGGCAGTTGTTGGTAGGTGCGCCAAGCCGGTCACCATGCGCAGCGACCCTGCGTACAGCACAGGACACACCACCCCGGGCCTGCTCCTTCCCTCGATTGTTCTCCTGTTTGAGCCATGGTCGCAGCCACTGTATCAGCCCATCTTGTCGAGGGTCCTCCTCTTTCCTGCTGCCCCTCTGCTTTATCAAGCATGATGTCCTTCTCCAGGGACGTTTGAGTAGCATCTGTTAAAGCTAAAATATGCCTGCCCTTTGACCCTGAAATTATAGCGCTATTTATACAGGAGGAAGGAGGGTTTATGTCCATCATAAGACTTAGACTAGAAGGTTTATAATAGCCCAAAGCAGGAAACAGCAAGTGCACATCACCAATAGGATGTAGAAATCAACTCGTCGTATTCAGCTACGTAGCAATGAGTTAACCACTGCGTGCAACAATGTGGGAGATGCCCCCTGCCAGAATGGCGGGGCACACACGGGGGCAGGGTCTGACCACTAATGTCCCCAGGACAGAGTGCATCACCATCAGCATCAGCACAAGGCTGAGTTCTATGAAGTGGAGATCCGGCGTGCTTCCACCCTCAAGTTTTTCAGAGCAATGCTGACACTAACCATTCCTGCCCTGGCACCCTCTACCTCTCTGCTGGGCTTGACAAACATCGCTAAAATTGCCACACAGCGCTCACAGACAATACTCACAGTTACGGCATTTATTCGGGTACCGGGTTACACTTCAGAATAAGAAGTACTCAGGATACAGTTCTTCAATCAGGACAGCCAAGCCCTTCTCAGACATGTCCGAAGGGATGCCTCTCTTAGTCCTGGACCCTCAGCCTGGTCCCGCCCTGCCTAGGCAAGTATTACAAAGCTATTTTAACTCTGTCAATAAGTTCTTTGAAACACCCTACTGTGCCAGCAAGCCTCAGGTCTCTTGCCCAAAGGCAGACAGCTTTCTCCATCTGCCGAGCAGGAAGTCTACCACATCCTCTCCTGACAGACTTCCGGTGCAGCTGCTTCTGCTGCCACGTCTGTTATTGCATCTCGCCACCTCTCACCATCTCTGGTGTCACAGCTGTTTCCTGGGTTAAAGAGGTTCAGCACAGGGATCCCGGGTCCAAAGGATGTGCCCCATGCCTGGCTCTTCTCTCCTTTTTTTTTTTTTTAAATCATTTTCTTGGGGGCTCGTCTAACTCTTATCACAATCCATATATCCATCCATTGTGTCAAGCACATTTGTACATTTGTTGCCATCATCGTTCTCAAAACATGTGCTTTCTACTTGAGCCTTTGGTATCAGCTACTCATTTTTCCCCTCCCTCATGGACCCTTGATAATTTAAAAATTATTATTTAAAAAATTATTATTTTGCCATATCTTACATTGTCCAACATTTCCCTTCACCCATTTTTCTGTTGTCCATCCCCCAGGGAGGGGGTTATATATAGATCCTTGTAATCGGTACCCCCTTTCTACCCCATCTTTGCTCCACCCTCCCAGTATCGCCAAGCTCACCACTGGTCCTGAGGGGTTCATCTGTTCTGGATTCCCTGCGTTTCCAGTTCCTATTTGAACCAGTTCACATCCTCTGGTCTAGCCGAATTTGTAAAGTAGAATTGGGATCATGATGGGGGTGGGGAGGCATTTAAGAAGTAGAGGAAAGTTGTATGTTTCATCGTTGCTACACTGCACTCTGACTGGCTCGTCTCCTCCCCGCGACCCTTCTGTTGGGGATGTCCAGTTGCCTACAGATGGGCCTTAGGTCCCCACTCTGCACTCTCCCTCATTCACAATGATATGATTTTTTGTTATTTGATATGTGATACCTGATCCCATCGACACCTAGTGATCACACAGGCTGGTGTGCTTCTTCCATGTGGGCTTTGTTGCTTCTCAGCTAGATGGCAGCTTGTTTATCTTCAAGCCTTTAAGACCCCAGATGCTTTGTCTTTTGATAGCCGGGCTCCATCAGCTTTCTTCACCACATTTGCTTATGCACCCATTTGTCTTTAGAGATCGTTTCAGGAAGGTGAGTATCATGGAATGGCCTGGCTCTGCATCCCTGATGGCGTTCAGACCCCCTTTATACCTCTGAGATGGTTCACTTTAAGGCTAGTGAAATGGTAAAACGAACTAGCCCCTTCATCCGGGTTCCATACACTTTATTTGCATAGTCCTATCCCTACAAAAACACCAAGTATCTTATTTACATTATCACCAAACTATCCATTCCCCTTGGTGGGCCACAAGCCTAGTCCTAGTCTGGTATTTGATGACAGTTACAAAGACTATTGCTAGAA